ATGACATCTGCACTAAAAGAGAAGAAGTTTGTCTTTGTCTTCTCTAGGTACAAACAGCCAATCCTTTATACAATGCCAACCTGCAATAATTCCAAAATTTGTGGAATGCAGAAAGATTTCCATTGGTTACCGTGAGAGGAACATCCACTAATCCTTGTAGTAGTCTGTTTCTTTGCTTGCACTAGAGTTTAAATGAGCTTATCTTAAAATTCCCTGTTATTTTTTTTTTTTTAAATCTCTTAAATCTCCAGGCTATAAGAGACCATGCTTGGAGGTCGAGATAACAAAGGAAGAGAAGACAAGATGGTCGTAGTTAGAGCTTTTATGGCCTATGCCTAGACATCTCCACTAACATAGCAAACCAAGTCAGGCATGGCCATTTGGGGATTATAAGCATTACTGGTGCCTGTTTCTGACAAATCGTAGCCCTGAAATTAGGGATTGTTACTTTCAGAGTAAACACATAAAATTAAGAGGCTCTTTGATCTCATGGCCTGGAGCCATAAACTAGGACCATAAACAAATAGGCCATTTAATTTATCTCTGGTCTCTCTCAATGCTGCGCTACCTAACCAAAGAGGTCCAGATAAAGACCTTACTCCAATGGAACTCATGGAGTAAGTCTGCCACCAAGATCAGTGAAAGCATCTCCTTGTGTAAATGCTGGATACTTCACTCAGTAGCCGCAAGATACGGATTGCCTCTTTGATGGTTGACATAGGCAACTTTCTTTAGTACATGAGAATTCTATCTGTAAATGGGCTATGATTGAGGGACCAGGAAGGTCGCTCAAGACATAGATAACCTTACCAGCAGGCTGGCTGTGGGTCATGGGAATAAAAATATTTGAGGTCAAGCAAGACCATCAGATCAAACAATGCTTCTTAGGGAGTGGCTATCGGATTTGTTTCTGAGCTCCATGAACATGGAAAAGCCTTTAATTACAGCCCCATGAGCAGATATAGACATGTACAGCCTTTTTCAAAGTCTTAAATGGATGAACTGCTGTGAATATTAAGCAATTTTTTGCCAATAAATAGTGCAGAGGAGACTGTGTCTCAGTAGGCAGTTCCCTCCAGTTAAAGGGACACTATATTCACCAGAACTACAGCTTATTTACTTTGTTCTGGTGAGTAGAATCATTGCCTTCAGGCTTTTTGCTGTAAACACAGTCTTTTCAGAGAAAATGCAGTGTTGACATTACAGCCTAGTGATAACTTCACTGGCCACTCCTCAGATGGTTGTTCCTGGGTCATGGCTGCCTAAAATGCATCCAAACATTCAGTGACTCCTCCCTCTGCATGCAGACACAGAACTTTCCTCATAGAGTTTAATTGATTCAATTCATCTCTATGAGGAGATTCTGATTGGCCAGGGCTTTGTTTGAATCATGCTGGCTCTGCCCCTGATCTGCCTCTTTGTCAGTCTCAGCCATTCCTATGGAGAAGCATTGTGATTGGATCAGGCTACCACTTCTGATGATGTCAGCAGACTGCTTGTTTTTCTGAGTCTAACAACATGCAGAGTTACAGCTTCAGGCTTGAATACATTAAGATTTTGCTATATTTATGGAGGCATGAGGGGCCCAGGGGGGGCTAGATGGTGGTTTTAACACTATAGGGTCAGGAATACATGTTTGTGTTCCTGACCCTATAGTGATCCTTTAAGCCTCTATGGTCCTGATGGGAATTAAATGAGAAAGGGGAGTAGGGCATACTATACAGAGACACTTCAGAGTAAGTGCCCAGGTTGGGTTGCCCTAGAGAGTGTAGGAAGGAATGCAGAGGAATTTGTCAAGCACCATCTGATCTGTGCCATCTTAGTGTTTTATTCACTACCTTCTAACAATATAGGTGCTTTGCAAGATTATAATAAGCCGCAAGTGGGTTAGGGGACCATCTGTCAGTCCTTTAGTTGAAAACAAAAATATTCAGTGCCTCAACTGTTGTCTTACACAAAATAGTTATGGGGAGCTTGAAATGAAGGAGCAATGTCTTGAGTTATTCCTGATAACCCATATGTTACGGTTCATGGACTCACGCCATCATTTGATAGAGCTATTAAACTTTTGGCAATATTGTTTTAAATGTTTTATGATTTTTTTCAGATGACAATAACATAGTTGCACTCTCTGGTTAGCAGATTTAATTTAATGTAACAGAGTTAGGAATACAAACAACGTACTCTTTTTCCCTGTGCCGAAACTCACTTGGGGTAGCCACCTGGCAGGCATCGCTTTTATGTCTTCCTGTTCAATTCAAAGCTCCTTATAGAGGAGCAATGGAAAACAAAAAAAGCCTATGTGTGGCAAGTACCACACTTCTCTAATCAAATGCTCTGAATAGGTGGTGAGTACAAAGTCTGACTTGGTTCTCACAGTGGGAGCACGTTCTAGTGGCGGTCAGGAAGACTACTAGAGATGTATTTAGCCCTGCAATTGAAACATTGCGGTGTCTGCTAAACTGCAATGTTTACATTGCAGGGCTAGAGCTAAAATTACACTGCACCCAGACCACTTCAGTGACATAAAGTGGTCTGGGTGTCTTTAGTGCACATTTAATTTAAAGAAATTGTAATATAAGCTACGTGAATTAGTTTGCAATTAATACATAGAAATTAATATGTTTTTAATATGAAGCACCACTCAAATTCTAAGCCAATGCACAATTTAAAGAGGAGCTTGCGCATTTATTACAATCAGATTTAACTTTTTGTTGGGCTTAGAGTTGTGTGTTTGTTTGTTTTTAATTAATATTTTAACTTACTAACAAACAATATCTGCAAAGCTGGCATGTGTACTTATGCCACTGCTAGAGATTAACCCAGGCATGCATGCACACATACAAAATGTTCTCCTTTTGATGCCCAGAGGCATCGTTGCATGCAATGGTATTCCAAAAAATTGGTGCAATGAAGGTAAGTTTTTCTTTGTTTTTCTTGGTCTCCCACTAAAGGAGATATTTCAAATCTCTGAATGCATAATATTATGGGGTTACATCACTAAAATAAAACAACAACAAAAAAAACAAAACATAAAGGACATTTTATTTCAGTGATGGAAAGGCTATATGAAGTAACTAGTGTTCCCTTGATTTTTACTGACAGTATTGTGAGTAGTGATGTCGCGAACCGTTCGCGAACTTGACCTCCTGGACAGAATCCATGTTGAAGCTGCCTTCAACATGGATGCTGTCCAGGAAGTAGGAGGGTCTGGGAGGGAGGGTCTGCCGGAGATTGGCAGGGATGTGTCAGCTGACCGGAGTTCGCCGCGAACCTGTTCGCGTCAAGTTCGCGAACGGTTCGCGACATCACTAATTGTGAGCTTGTGTTATTTATTTGTCACTCCAGCTTCTCTTGGATTGTATGCTAAATATGCTCAGTGTATCTTAAAGTGTCTACTATACTAAATATATATTTATATGTCTTTGAGTGACAGAGTTGTCCACATCTGTAATCTTTTCAACCTTTCCTCGTTTCTGTTTCCTATCTCCCTCACGCTCATTATCCACACTACTACTTTGAGTTAATATTTCTTTGTAATTGGGTGCTTAGCTTGGTTCTTTTTCTTCTTTCCAGGCAGCTAGACCTTCTAAAGAGGCTGGTAGTGTGAATGAGACTAATCTGGGGTCGGATAAGACAGCACCTTCTCGAACCTCTATTCCTGTACTAACTTCCTTTGGTACAAGGAACTCCTCTATTTCCTTCTAAATGTAATCTACATTGCGACTTTTTGCTCGACTACTCTTCTCTCATAAGACTTCTCTTTCCTACCCTTTGAAGTGTGGACAGTGTCTTATTTGGCCATCATCTTCTGCCACAAAGACACCACCTCATCTTTTTTTCCTTCTGCGTTTTATCAGCTTTGAGAAATCTGATGCGCCAAAGGGCTGAAAGCACGGAGATGGGTGTGAAAGACAGACAAGACAGCCAACATGTCCCATGGTGCCTACCACCACTCCAGGCCTGACTGTTACCACACTTGCAGAGCTGCTCGTCTCTCCAAATGATGTAAATAGAAACTTATGGAAGCCAGAACTTTATCGGACATTATCTATGGATTCCGGAGCATTGTATGTTGCTTTGTTTTATTATTTAATTTGTAGAATTTTTTTTTTGTGGAAGTCTAGAGATGCCAGGATGACCTTCTTCTGTGTGCGTGTGTGTGTGTTGCGTTGCCAGCAATAAGCAAAGATTGCAAGAGAGCAGTTTGTATATTGGATGTTCTATACTGTACCCGCATTTATCTTTCAAGGTAGCATAATATGTATTACAAATAGCAGGTGCAGGTTCCTTTCCTTATCTGGGAAGATATCAGAAAGCACAGAGTGGAGAAATTCTGATATTTTTTAGGTGGTATTAAATGACCACTCAAAGAGTGAGAAATGCCAAGCACAGTGGCACCAAGACATGTTCTGAACACCAACACTGTTAACTTTGTAAAGCAATATCTGTCCTCACATTAGTCATGGACAGGTGCAAGAGGTATAGACTCCAGGGTTTCATGTTTAGGGAAGGTCCACTGGTCATTCACCATCAACAGTCTGGATAGTTTGACTCTGGGAGTTAGTGGACCTCAACAGCTCTTTGTCCTTAAAATTGGTCCTTGGGGTGGTGGTAGGTGGGAGCATTTCCTTGTAACATTGTATATTATAAGCACAGAGACTGATAACAGTAATATATGTGAAGTGTGTACGTATGTGTGTTGGTGATTTTGTATGTCCATGGCCAGAGGAGAGACCCAGAGTGCAATTCCGTTTTTTTTTTTACTTTCTTTCTGTCTGTAATCACTTGGATCATGTGTTTTCTTTCTCTTATTTTTTCTTTTCTTTTTGTTAAACCATCCATTTGTACAGAGATTGAGTTTATATGAAGAAAATAAACAATCTGCAAGGTCACTGTTTTGGATTTAAAGTAACTCCATCCAGTGAAGTGTTTTTACATTTTCTATTGTTTTATGAAGAAGAAGAAAAAAATATACATATATATACATATTATATATAAAAATACTGACATATGATATAAATATATATAACTTTTAGAGAATCCATTCCTTGTCCAGTATGAGGAGTGTTTACATAATAAATGTTTTGGGATCTTTCTGTTTTCTGTTAGTGGAAAGTAGTAGGATCTTTCTTTGACTTGCAAACTCCATCCATTGTGAGAAACACAGCCACTATGTAGTTCTCTCCATGTATAATACAGATTGTGGTTCCTTGAAAGACTGATTTCTACCAAAAAGTTTAATAACGTCTTTAATTAATCTCTGTGTGTGGGAGTGGGTATAGAGGGTTTTGTTGGGTTCCTCCATCGTCTATTTGTCTTATTCTGCTTATTCAGTGTCCCTAAGTCCTGTCCATTGTGCCCATGGGTTCATACCCTCTGCTTTCATCCATGAAGCAATTGGCAGATAAATTATTTTCACTCATGTCTGAGTTTGCAAAATGCATAACTCTGCCTGGCCCCTTATTACGTGGAACCATGCCAAAGGTGGTTCCGCTGCACTGGCAGCTACTTAAAGGCTTAGCTCGGAGAACACTTAAAGCTAAGGTCAATTTCTTGGTGCCAAGACTCCTTTGGCAATAATGACATCTTATCACATGGAAGAATAAAAGTAATGATAAAGTAGAGCGTGAGGAATTTAAAAAGCTATGATTTTTTATTTATTTTTATTGCAAAAAATTGTTACTTTGATATTACAGGTGCCCATCCCTGCCTTTCCTATTTACCTATGGAGAGCCAGAAGCTCTTGCTAAGACGTTACATTAGCCCTCGCAATATGCCCTGTAGTGTAGGACCACCTCATTGGCTGAGAGCAGCAACTAATTGCAGCAGGGACCTCCCTAAAACCTTCCCAAACAGGGCACGGTTTGATCATTGGCTGAGAGTATTAACTGATTGGCTTAGTCCAATTTAGAGAGGTACCTACTGCAATCAGTTGATCCTCTCAGCCAATGAGCAAACCCTGCCTTGTTTGGCTTAGTCCAATTTAGAGAGGTACCCACTGCAATCAGTTGATACTGTCAGCCAATGAGCAAACCCTGCCTTGTTTGGTTTAGTCCAATTTAGAGAGGTACCCGCTGCAAACAGTGCACGGTTTGCTCTTTGGCTGAGAGCAGAAAGGCAGGTAGTGGAAACCAGCAGACCCTAGGTACTACTACTTTCATTGGGAGGGCACCATGGCACAAGCGGCAGCATATCCACTACAGCATGTTATGGTGCTTTGATTGTTGCTTTATACAAATAAGACTCCACCCATTCAGGACCAAGTGAGAAGCATTGAGAAATGTACGTATCAACAATTCCATATCTTGATAACAATAAAACATCTGAAATTACACTTTAGTAGACTGGGTGAAACATTTTACTTTGTACATGTCATCTCCTGTTTAATGAAACAAGGCGTCCGGCCTTGCAGATTTTATATATATATATATATATATATATATAGATACTCTTCATCTTGAAGAATACACATCATGCCTGATCCTTTTCTCTGTCTTTATTGTTGCACTAGCCTTTTAACCAACCTCTGCCAATTGTTTCACTAGAGGAACTCCCTACATAAATCAAACTATTTCAGCGTTCTGCAAGTAACTCACCCTAAAGTGTAGGAGGCTTTTGTAGCATGTTGTATTTGTTTTACACTATGGTATTATTCTATTTTAAAAAGACAAATTAACTAGAACACCAGAAAAGTAATTAATTGGAGAATTGCACAGCACTTTGTAGAGACCCTGTAAACAGGCTCCAGAACAAGTCAGTAAACCCTTTCAAAAGCATATACTTTTTTTCTGGACTCAATGTTGCTATTGCATTAATGGAATTGTCAGGAATTCCCAGTAAATATCATTATTAAAGGAACAGGCTCGCATTAAGAATACAAACATGTATTCCTAACGCTACAGTGTTAGATTGTGTGCCTCCCCAGTTATAACCACCTTTTTGCTGCGGCCACCCCTCCTCCTATGGCTGAGGCCATCAATACTAATGATTTCAGCCAATTCAATGGTAATGGTTCCCCATTGGGAAGTATTGGGGGTGGTTAGTGCACATGCGCAGAAATCACCATGCTGCGCCAGTCAGCATCTTCTCATAGAGATGCATTGAGTCAAGACGCCAAAAATCAATCTTGTAATCTTTGCAGAACCTCATTCAAGAAGCTCCCTCTAGTGGCTTTCCGTATGACAGCCACTGAAGGCTGAAAAAGCAGTGTTTAAAATGCTCTGCCTGCAGGGGCAGTCTCCATGCTCCAGATCCACTACATTAAGCTGTAGTAGTTCTAGGGCCTATCTATATCTATATAATATATTAAGAAACAGGAGCAATTTTTACCCTGAAACACCTTCACTATGGGACTCGTATATGCTCGATTCTCAAGGTATGCACAATTACATGTTTTTTTTTATATTGAAAGCAAAATGTAACTTATACAAACAAATGTAGTTAGCAAACTGTCCCCTTGGGGTCCAAGGCAGCAGAGTCTGAGCTAATATTGTAACACCAGCTCTGTTAAGTTCTCCTGCAGCTGCGCTGACTGTTGGGGAGATCTCCCAGTGCTGCTTACAGTGCAGGTCTGGTCATTTGGCTGGGAACAGCTCTATACCAATGCTCACTACCATTCAGAGACTGGCAAGGAGCAGTTAGTGGGGTCTGCACAAAAGTTGGAGGTGCGGACCTGCACTGACAGCCGACTGGCCAGGATGTTAGCAGAAGGGTGGCAAACCTAATATCTTGCATGTTTGCACAGAAAATGTATGTTATGAAAAATTGAAAAATTATTGGTTAAAAATCCCAATTTTTTTAATGCATTATATAGATAATGCATTTAAATATAATGTAAAATATACATATCCACAAAGTTTTTTCTTCAGAGCCCCTTTTGGTGAATTTGCCTAAAGCTGCAACCATACCCCTCCCTGACAAGGAAGAGCCTCTTATATTGTAAGGTCTTGCACAACAGAAGTTCATGGGATAAGTAGTATATTCCCCAAGATCAGTTCCACTCATCACTAGGATAGGTGGAAGTGCTTTGGGTACCATATCATGGCTGCTATCCCTTTACCAATAACCTGGTTCTCGCTGTTTAATGAACCGCATTAGTCTAAAGTCAGGTTCTCTCAGTTGAAGATGTACGTGTACAGGTTGGATAAAATTGTAATAGACAGCCTGGTACTTCAAGACTCTGTTTTTACAAATTGCTGCAGTTCTAAGCAATTTTAAGAGTTGATAATTGGCACCATTACCTTTTTAATCATGCAATGGAGTGACTGTGCACCGAGTGACCTTTTTATCAGTGAAGCATCTGCAATTCTTCTGGATCACTTCTGATCAATTTGTTTTAATTTAACTTCTATTTAACGGGCCGGCAGCTGCATGTAGAAATTAAAGGTCTTTGATGACAAAACGACCAATCTTTCTTCACCCTGCTTACTTCTAAATAAAAACATTACATTGCATTACTAAGCTTTGCAAGTCAAAGGATAGAATTAGTTACATATTTATGTAAATTCCAAAATAATCTTAATACTTGTATATTTGCTGTAGTTTTCTCCTTATTGCTGCTTTAACTAAAAATATAATTGAAGTTGATAAACACAAACAATTTGTATCACTTTTAATTTTCTAGGGACACTACCATGAAAAATCTATTCGTGCACTTAAGTGAAATGCAGCATAAAGTCAATTATTTAAAGAAACACTATAGTGTAAGGAATACAAACAAGTTAAACTATTAAGATCTCATTGAAAAGGCGATTTTACTCACCTCTTATGCTACGCTCCACCTGACTTCCCCTCCATGGCTGAAATCATTAACCTTGATGATCTCAGCGAATGCAATGCTTTCCCATAGGAAAGCATTAGAAGGTTATCTCCTTGTAGAGATAAGCCAATGCATCTCTAGGGGGAACGTTCAGTGCCTCCATGCAGTGAGTGGAGATACTGAACACCAGTACTGCACAATGTAGAGATGCTCCTAGGCAGCAATGCACTGCCTTTTCTCTGAATAGGCAGCATTTCCATTGCTAACCCTGCAGGGACATGCTATAGACACCAGAACCATTACATTACCTATTAATCTGGTCCTCTAAGGTGTTTATTTTTGTTCTCGATTGCAAGGGACAGGTGTCTTTTTTTTTTTTTTTCTTCTATAGTGGATTCTGATCAGGATTTAGACAGCATGAAGTGAGTTGGAGAAGAGATTATAATGAATTTTCTTAGAAGAATGATATATAGATGAAAGCACAAGTGATTTATGAAGAAACATTTTATGAAATTATATATTTATCTAAAAATATTTTTCTGTAATTTATTATTTTATTTCATTTAATTGAAAGCAAACATTTTCATGGTATTTTCCTTGTAATGCTCATTCTAGAGCTGGCATTCTTAAACTTACAGGAATGGTTTTTAGCAAGTTATACGAAAGGATGTTTGGCCAACACATGGTGGTCTAGCAGTTATTGATCAAGTCTTGTAATGCCAAAGTAGCCATTTTATGGCACTGCATTATATGAGTTGCAGTTCCAGCTAGAAGGTTCTTGTTGAAACCTCTGCCTGTCTTCAAATGTTATTATATTTAATATTTTAGGCAGAGAGCTTATAAATAAGCACAAATGTATACATTTCAAGAACTGCTAGCATTAATTGGATTTCTGATCTCAATTGGTCAACTATGGTGAGCATGTTACAACTCCCCTTATTGTGGGCTACTGTTACCATGAGCATCTGGCATTTGGTCCATAATTGTTGAGATGTGAAGTTTAGATATCACTGCCTCTGTTCAGGGTTGGCACACCGTGGCACTGCAGGTAATAATAGGCCTTTACATTTCCCATAATGCTTAGCCAGATCTTAGAAATGTAGTCAATGAAAACCTTGAATGCCATTGTTAAATGCCCTAATTTATACTCAAAATCTACTTTTGTAAATTTTGAAAGAGTTTCTGCTGTATAGGTACCATACTTCCATAACAGGTGAGTCTGTCCGATGCGGACTCATATCACCAATCCTATTTAATTTCCGTTATTATATTTGTTTCCTACTAGGAAGTCTTACTTTGATTGAAGTCCTCATTAACAATAGGTTTGCAGCACTAAAATACAGACATCCGAGAAAACATCAAAATTTATTGTGTATCACCTGTTCAAAAAAATTGGTTTTCAGACTATACCGTCCTAATGATGTTGTGTAAGAGAGATTTGAGAAGCATGTGGACACCTGGTCTTTGCATGATAAATTTAGCAATATTGTCTATATGTTGTTTTAAATTAAAAATATTAATAAAAAATTTAAAAAAGTGGAACAAACTACATTGTCATTTTGAGGGGGAAAAAAAATAACATCTTTAGATAACTGACGTTTTTGGTTTGTTTTTTTTTTGGTTTTTTTAACAATGTGTCTGTCTTTAAGCATGGATAGTATTGTGTAACATTCAAGGCCTCTCAAAGCGTCTCTCTTCGCAGTGGTTCTGGCTAATGATGTCATTTTTGTAAATTTAATGCTACCACTTGTAGTATATAGCTCTGTGTATAAATATATGGATGCCATAAAAATTCAGTGAAAAACAAATATCTTGTGTTTTTCTTTACACGTAAACTGAAATATAAAGCTCAGATGTGCCATCTATTTATCTCTTATTATTTACTTTCTCCACGTTTAATAAGACATGTTTTATTTTCCTCTAATTTTCTTTTCTCCCCGTCTTTAGTAATTTAGGAATTCTTTTACTTCTCCAAATGTATCATTATGCCTTTTCTTGTAATTTTACTTGGTCATTCATACTTTCATTTATTTCACATCACTTTGCGAAGCTGTTTAGGCACCTCAGCCAGGTGATGTGAATTAAAAGTAAGAAGTAAATATGTAAAGCAAGTCAACGTTAATGGACACAGTAAGGTATGCTAAAGTGCCCCGTAGAGTCATAATCAGGGATTCTAATGTCCATTTAGACATTGGGGGTTTTATTAAGAGCATTTATCCTCATATTTAAAGAACATTTCTTGTAATCATAAAGCACACAACTAAAAACAAAGCATGTGTTAATTAAAATCGACAGACTAGTCTAACCTTGGCTTTTAGCGGTCATTGAAATCTGTGGGAGTTATTTCCATTTATTAAGAGGAATCCTGGGGCAAAGAAAGGGAAATATCACCACGTTTAGATATCACCCCAGAACTACATGTATTATATATAAATATCGGTTATTAACAAATTAAAGATCATCACAGGAGGATATTCAGAACAAGTAAACATGCAGAAAGCTTTATTCAGCATTAACTCAATTTTTAAGGAAAAAAAAAAAAAATTAAAAATCCTTATACATTTTATATTATGTTACACATTAGAGAACATATTTACAGAACAAGAAAGATAAAACTTTACATTATATGCATAACAGGATTATACATTAGTCACAATACAAATCTGGAATGGTTTGTATACAAAAGAAAACAAAACACACATTCGGTATAGATTTTGGGTCCTATTAGTACGAAAATGTATCCCTTCCATATAGTTGACATAACAAGTCTCATTAATACGCAGTTTGGGTTGCTCATACGTAGTTTCCAGGCTCAAGTTCAATGAATTATAAACGAACTTGCTCTACATAGTACTGTGCAGGAATTAATGCAGCCCCTCCACTACGATGTGCCGGACAGCCCCTCATGTGTCTCATAGAGGAGGACATATATCATTTCTAGGGGCTTACCTGGGGATGCGTCCAGATATGGTACTCTGGTGCAATAGGACATATGATCTTGGCACTCAGCCTTAAAGTATGTTCTGTTTATAGTCAGAAACACTTGACCTTATATGTTCTAAAGTTGTAAAAGTCCCTTATAGACAGCTCTTAATATCGAAATCTGCTCAGTTCAGCTGTTCTGCCCTTGCATCGCTTCTACTCACTCCTAATTCTTAGCCTGCCATCAAAAGAAGGATGAATATGGACATTTGGGAAGAGAACAGAACTATTTTAAGGTGTTTATGGCAATGTCACTATGAGCCAACAAGCTTGATAAATCATTGATGGAAACTAAATAAATATTTTCAATAACTTGTACTCCTTATTTTATAAGTTCCTTTTGATGTGACTCCAAACTTATCCTAAACCAAATGTTTCTGCATTGACCACCAAGGATTTAAAGGGATGCTCTAAGTATCAACACCACATTATCTTAATGAAAAGGTTTTTGGTGCAGAGACCCGGTCTTATTTATTAGCAGTGTTTACATTTGTCTGAAGCCACACCTCTAGTGACTGTTGGCTACTACAGGAGCTTCCTCTTTGAAGACATTCGATAATAAAAGGTCCTCACATTTAGCACCAGCATGTTGATGCCAAACACATCCGCTGCTCTTATAGAAGAGAGCTGAACTTCATGCTTCTCTATGAGAAGCATTTGATTAGCAGAGAGAGAAGATTGCCACTCATATACCCTATGTTTCCAGAGTTCTACACAACAATAGGAACATTCTAACATTAAAAATACATTTAATTTTAAAGTTAGAGAGTGCTTGTAAAGGATTACCTAGCTCTGTTCCAAAGGCCATAGTGATAAAACCTGGACTATTAAAAAGTCTGAAGACCTGGTTTGAGACGTATACTTAAGGATAACCCATGTGAACAAATGTTTTGATATTATAAGTAACATTTATTTCTTTGCATGACCACTTCAAACTTGGGTATAACATGTTTTAAACAGCTTGTTAGCAGCACCAAATCTACATATATACAATGGAAGAAGTATGGGTGTAGTGAATGTGAAAGACAAGTTTTAGAGTAGATGAAAAAGGATGGAATCCTAATAGGAAAAGCATGTGAGTATTTGTAGATCTAATCTCAAAATCCAAGGGAAAGCTAAAGATACAGACGATAAGAGAAGGATGGGATTCTACTAAGAATGCAAACCTTTTAAATTCAGTAGTAGAAAACAAAATAAGCTAAACAGGAATAAAAATTCAGGAGAATATAAATATTGCACACAAACCGCAAAAAAACATTAAAATGGAAGGGAGAATGAGGAGATATAAATAGGAGAGGGAAGTGGGGTTAGCTGACGTAACAAAAAAGGACAACAGAACATTCATAATAATTTCTAACAGTCTAGCAATATTGCAGTGAAAATTGATCAACCTCATTCTGGCAACGTCTGGTATGTATGTATTTATATAATACCCACTGCCTGGTGAAACTGTGTTTTTGCACTGCTTTGAGGAAACACAATCAAAGGATAGGGATGTACAGAGGTAATTTAAAATTGACAAGGCATATGCCCTGCGTTAAAAGTTCATATTGCAAATCAGAGCCTGCTTTATTTTAAATTGTAATACATGTAACAGATGGCATTGGTCAAACGGTATTATCATCTAATTCATTAAATCTTGTGATCTCATTTTGGTAGATTCCTACTTACAACAAACTTATCCCCTAGTCTCTCTCAAAGGACTGTTTAAAGCCATTAAGTAATAAAGGGAAAAGGCTAGACTCCCAAAACTTATCAAGCTCCTCATATTGCTATACTTGAAGCTTTCAGTTCATGCTTTGACATACCACACACCCATGTGGGGACTCCCTTATGGTATTTCTTGGATCTCACTTCCCTGTCCCTTCTATTATGCCCCCAAAATCAATGAACTTCACCCTACTTAAAGGACCACTATAGTGCAAGGAAAACATACTCGTTTTCCTGGCACTATAGTGCCCTGAGGGTGCCCCCACCATCAGGGCCCCCCTCCTGCCCGGCACTGGAAAGGGGAAAGGGGTTAAAACTTACCTTTTTCCAGCGCTGGGCGGGGAGCTCTCCTCCTCCTGGGCTGAATGCGCACGCGCTGCAAGAGCTGCACGCGCATTCAGCCCGTCGCATAGGAAAGCATTTACAATGCTTTCCTATGGACGCTTGCGTGCTCTCACTGTGAAAATCACAGTGAGAAGCACGCAAGCGCCTCTAGTGGCTGTCAATGAGACGGCCACTAGAGGATTAGGGGGAAGGCTTAACCCATTAATAAACATAGCAGTTTCTCTGAAACTGCTATGTTTATTAAAAAAAATGGGTTAACCCTAGAAGGACCTGGCACCCAGACCACTTCATTAAGCTGAAGTGGTCTGGGTGCCTAGAGTGGTCCTTTAATATTACCTACCCATTTACCCGTAGCCAATTTCAACCACAACTCCTCTATCAGTCATTTCCTGTTGCTATGCAACAGTTTTCAGATCATGACACTTTGATAAATCCCCCTCCCCGTGTTTTTGCCTTTCCATATTTTATCTTATTTTAACACCACTTTTTAACCCTGGAAAATCTTCTCCAACGTTGGTGGTCGTATTATACGCCGGGTATATGGCTGCCGGGGGCGCCCTGATCGCCGGCCCTTCTAATGCTGCAGCCGCCTGAGCGCTCTATAGAGAGCGCTCAGACGGCTGCCGCACTGCCTCTCTTACCTCCCCTTCCCTGTGCAGAGTGGGTGGCAGAGCTCCTCTTCGTCCTGTCAGTCCGGCTGGGTACCGCGCGGTACAGGAGATTCAGTTACCTGTTCCCGGCCGGACTGAAAGGAAGTGCACACTGAGTGCTCACTTTCTGATTATCATTATTTAATGTCTTGCTGTGTAGCTCTGTCTGCTCACTCTACATCATGGCTAATTTTTATTTGGTGTGCATTGGAAGAGGGGTAGTCTTATATGGCGAGTATATCCCAAACTCTATATTTTAACTGGAAAAGTTGGGGGTCGTCTTATACGCCAGAAAATACGGTAAGTGTGTACAGTGCAGCAAAATTGCATAGTATAGCTGGTGTCATCTATGCGCCAAGTCAGGCAACGGGTGACATATCTGACGGCCCCCTTACTAAATGTGAATATGCATCACCATAACTGGAAACATTCTCCAAAACCACTTTTTCAGTTTGGTAATTTGGGCATACACCCTAGAAATTCACTTTGAATTCCTGATACAACAGTGGCATGTACATCCCTGATCAACCTACTGTTTGAACTAGATGTTTTGTTTTAAATACATGTTAACTTTAAAGTGGATTATTATTTTAAGTGTCAGAACTGACAAACACCTGAAAAAAAGAGTCTGTGAGAAGATGCGAAACATCAGGTTTCTTGGATTTTTTCTATCTGATAGAGACCATATTTTATGTATTTTTTTTTATTTTTTATTAATTATGAACGTTTTGATGTGCCATGTATTGTCACATTCAATAAACTCACACAAGTAAGGATATTATTTGCATGAGTGCAGAATCTATATGGTAAGGACTGTGTATACACCTGGCCTGCAGAGAAAGAGTAGATTACGTGTTACACGCACGCACATGTATCAACATTGACTGTTCACAGGAAGTAAAAAAAATACTTGAATTAATGTTTCACTTCCTGTGTGCATGTACACTCTCTCTCTGTATATTATGTTTATGTATGCACAGCAAAGGTCGTCTTTGGAAGGAATCATGGATTAGGTAGTTAGCACCTGCTTTTGAATTATTTTTTTTACTGAAGCAATCCCATCATCTAAAATTGCCCCAATTTCATGAATAACCTGCAGACTATAAGTATAGGGAAAAGCAAATTATATCATTGAATAAGACATAAAAATGATGATAACCATCACCTATAACCTTTTTTTCATGCGATGACAGGGTGCCAAGAT